ATATATACGTACGGCGCAGAGCCACATATACAGGCTCGGACGAAACCACCAAGCAAGAAAAAAGGAAACAAAAAAAAGACATATTTACTAGCAGAGCTGCACACACCGAAAGTCAAAAGATATATTATATAGGAAAACAGCGACCGCAAGAGGTGACAAGAGTGCAATAATTAGTTGCAACATAGGGCCAAAATGGGAAACGACCTCTCCATCATACTTCGGACTTGCGTTCCGGCGCCTGAAGTCCTTCGGGAGGCGCAGCAGCGGAAGGAGCAGCAACAGAAGGATCACCCTCGGTTTGCCATGGAAGAGGGATGCGAACTACCGATGATGTATACTGAACTGCGGCTCATCGAGAAGAATGAATATGACATGCATTTGGACAATTTGGAGGTGACATCAACGCGGCTCCTAGTGGCGGAGTGCACTCCAGAAGCCCTCGACTCACTTGACTTCTGCGATGCGGCGGCCTTCCCATTTCTACGAGAGGCGCTGCGGTGTAGGCGGTGTGCAGGGCGGATCGGGCTGGCTGTGGATCCCACAGCATGCATCGGACAGCGCCTCTATGGCTCAGAACAACGACACGCCTTTACACAGGGTATCTCTATCCTTCTCTCAAAACTCATTCTATATTTGAAGAACACTCCCAACGATCACGATGGCGATGATAAAGAGGACGCGATTGCCAATGGTGGTGCTCAGGTGGCAGATGACCTCGTTGAAACACAGCCAAACTCACCGAGCAGAGCCGTTTCCTATTTCTGGCAGGAACTCTTCCTTATCGACCTACAACATTGTCTGTTGGATGACGTGAGTGGGCCATGGATTGTGCGCGACATCGCGGACCGAATGGGACGCGTGCAGCACTATCACTCGGCTGTCTCACTACTATGCGGGAAGCAGGCGCCATTGTCAATGAGGTCGCAAAGCCTTGGCGAGTCACTGTCGCCAATGGATGTGTCCATCATCAGCCGCATGCAAATTTCCTACACGCACACCGATGGTGGCGGCGCTGACGTGTCTCTTCATACAGCAGACCCTACACAACTGACATTCTGGCGATCGCTTCGTCACGTAATCCTCGCACACAACAACATGTCACGAGTGGGAATGCGCAAATGCCTGCTAGAGCTCATTGAGAGCAACATGGAGGAAAGGGGGGGACCACTCGTCAGATCCCTTCAGATGGTTGACGTCAGGCAGAATGAAGAGTCCCCCGCGGCGCAGCGCTTTGTCGCTGAGATATCATCGTTAACCTCTGTGCAGATAATGATGGGAACGAGCGGGAAGCGTTGGCGGCACCGGCCAATGTGTGCGGCTAACGGAAGCGAAAGCCCATATACAGTGTGCTCCTTTATGACGGCATACAGCCCTTCTGAATCTACGCCGGGCAGAGAGCTTTTTTCTGCCAGCACACGCGAAACAGCCCAAAGGGAAGAGAAAGAGGAGGGAGCGACAATGCAAAGACACAAGATTCCTTTAACCCTAATGGCAAGGCGGCAAAGGCCTCCAGCGACAGGCGTAAGCAGTGAAGCTGGAATGAAACCATACGTGGGCGCTGGGCGTGACGAGGCGCTCCTCCTCCATTGGAGTAGTCATAATGAAGAGAAGGGAGAGATGACGGCTGCAACGGCGACTTTTCCTGCTACAGCGCATGGACTCCACAATATGGGGTTAAGAGATTCGATCAGGGAACAAGAAGGGGGGAACTGGTCGCAAGGTAAGGGAGCAGCTGACGCGGAAGAGACGGATGCCAATCGCGAGAGTGCATTCCGACTTGACGGAGCGGAGGCCACACCGGATCCGTTGGCCACGACACGAGAGGGAGTTGAGGTGCTTTCCTCCCCAGGAAGGCAGCCTGCTTACGCCCAGGCAATGTCACAACCCCGGCTCAGTGCTCCGCAAGGTGGACCTACTGTTTCAAGTGGTCCTGAAAGGTTACTTCCCGCTGACAGCACTGCCGCTGCATTTCCGCCTGAAATTGAGCGCGGGCCGATGACTACATCCTCTGCCATTACTTCGACCGTTGTGAAGAGGGATGGAGGCGCCGCAACGGAAGTTGAACCACCAGCAGCAGAAGTAACCGCAATACAGTCCCCCTTGGTTCGGAAAAGGGCATCTTCTGCCCGTCCCCGTCTTGTGGGCTCGACTGAGGGGAGTGAAAAGAAGAAGCGCCCGGGGAAGCGTTCCACTCGTCCGAGTCACGGTGCGGGGGAACCAGGAGGCAAAGCCTCCGGCACTCATGTAGAAAAGAGTGCCGGTATTCATTCAAAGTCCCCAGTCAGATCATCCGCCGCTGCCAAAGGAGATGGCAAGCAACCTAACGCATCAGCGGGACCGTCGCATGGGGGAGAACTGCATCCGAAGCTTCAGAGGCACTCACGTTCTAAACAACAAGCCCTTTAAGTATTAGTACTGCGGTGTCCGATTTTTTTTACACGAGCGATAGAGCCACTCTCTTGTCACATTGCTAGTCTGTCCCATCATTGTATTATTCATATTAGGAAAAAGACGAACACAGAAGGTTGCAGACGTGACTCCCACGTAAAGCGTGAGGATTATTGGTGAGAGAATGCAAAATACGCTCCAGACGGTGGTCACCTGGATGTTGCTTAAGAACACTGTGAGTGTAAAGCATTACTTTCTTTTGGATTTGCTTCGCAATTTATTCGCTTGTTTTTTTTTCTAAAAGAGGCTTTCTCTTTTTCTTTGTTGCTTTATTCTGATGCTTGAAGGTTCTTTTTGTTTATTTTTCACGTTGTTCCTTCCTTCTCTTTTCTTTCTGTCCCCTCATACATAGCAGGTTCGCTTCGGGCGACGGTAGGAATATCAGTAAGTGATTGTGAAGGAAACAGATCTTGATACAGGAAAAGGCCTCCACTTTGAGCACGTGAACACCGTCACACGTCTTTATTCGGTAAGGCTATCAAGGGGGAGGAAAGAAGAATCCCTGCGTGCTTGTATCTAAATATCACTGTCTGTGTGTGTGTGTAAGCACAGCAAGATGCCGCAGCGTACATGCAGTGGATCCCTGTACAACTTGCTGGGGGTGAGCTCGGATGCGACGCAGCAGGAGATCAAGAAAGCCTACCACCAGCTGGCTCTTCGCCTCCACCCTGACAAGACCGGCGGGGACACGACGGAGGAGTTTAAGCTGATTCAAGGAGCACAGGCTGTCCTCACAGATCCACAGCAGCGACGGGTGTATGACACCTTTGGAAAGAAGGGTATGGATGCACTAAGCCAATTCGGCGATGCAGGCATGTTTTTGGACCCTTCCATCCTTCGCGTCACCTTTCTGTTGCTCGCACTCTGGTCGGCGCTGTTTCTGCTTACGTTCGAACTGGTCATTGTGCGGCTTGATTACAACAAGACATGGCCTTGGGCGGCGGTGTTTGGACCCTGTTGGGTAGCACTCCTCCCCGTGCTGCTATTCGGTGGTGTGCTGCAATTCCGCGGCATCGCCAAGCGGGATTTTGCCTCTTTCTTGTTGGGGTGCGGATTCATGATGGTTATTGCAGCTGTCACGATGTTCGTGGCGGGGCTGAGTGACGCTGTCCCGTGGACTGCTGCACTGGCACCATCGGCGGCGTTATATGTAGTGGAAAGTTTCTTCGTCATGCGTTACTTGATCCCCTCAAACTTCCGGGAGCTTTGCCGTGAAAGCGTTGACGCCGGAGTGCCGGTTTGTAGAATGCGGGAGTACTGGGACTTTGCGCTCGGTATGATTTTTGAGAAGGCTTGTGTTTTCGTTTTCCTGGCCCTCGCCCTTCTACGTGCGGGGCAGACAGGCAAGGAGTCGTCCGAGCTGTTTTCCTTCTGGGCAATTTTCGCCCCACTCATCATCTACTTTGGATTTATGACGCTGCGTTCCGTCAGTGCCTGCATCATCGCCCGTGTGGACCGCGCAATTGTTGCCGTGATGTTCTACGGTGGTCTTCTTTATATGACCTGCATGATGGCGGCTAAGTGTTCGGTGGAGCACAACCACGTGGTGAAGGGTCTGCATCCGTCAGCGGCCGTCACGCTTCTCCCATTGCAGGTTGTGCTCATCTTGAACGTGCTAGTCCCTTGCTGCACGAGTTGCTTTGCTGAGGGAGTGCTGGAAACATTCTGCGCTGGGGGTAGCACGAGCGGTGAAAACGCATCACTGAGCAATGACGAGAGACCTAACCGTGGTGAATTCACGGGCATTGGGTGACATGACGGGAAAGATGATAGAAAGAAAAAAACAGGAAGCGAAGAATTATGCAGAGTGCCGTATGGTGATTGGGGCCGATATGCAGCCCATTCAAACAGGATACCGAGAGATGTAAGGAGAATGGGATCTGCCGAGAAACGATACGATAGAAGAAGCCCTGTGAACCGAGTGCGAATGGGGTGCAGTTGGTTATGATCTTCGTGTTGTCAGTGCTGGTTATTTGAAGTTGCTCATTTTTTTTTTTTTTTGGAGGGCAGTGATGGTAAGGAAATGATATTAAAGGTGTATCTGTCCCTTAACCGGGAGCTTGAGTTGGTTGTGGATATGTGGGGAAAAAATTGGTGTGTGATGATGACCATGATGATACGACTCAGCTACTGCCTTCTCATTTCCTCCATCTATCCCCCTTCTCTCTTATACACCTTGTCTCTCTGGTGTTCGCTCAGACCCCGGGCCTATGGTAGCGCCTTGATGCCTCAGCCCAACACCACGTTGCAGATCGGGCCGGCACTACAAAGACGGAAATGCCACTGCCGTCTCACAGCGAGCGAGTGTCACGACACGGACGAGACGGATGGCATTGTTTTCTCATTTCCCTCATTATCAGCATCGCTGTGTGCGTCAACATTGTCACGTGTGCGCCGGCTTTCACCAGTGGGCACCGTCACGTTGAATGCGGAAGAGAAACTCACTCTTCTACTCGCGATGCATTACATCGTTTTTGTTGTTGCTCCCACGCGATGGGGCGTGACGGGGCCGGCAGTGCTGCAGCGTTACGTCTTCGGTCCGCCGTACGCCGTGCGTAAGTGTGTGCATCGCCGCTACCCGATTCCGGCCGTCTGCGCTGCCGCTGGGCATTGTGCCCGCATAGAGATGCAGGCCGTGCTGGCGCAGCTGTACGGCGTTCTCGTCGTCCGCGACGAGTGGGACTGCTTTGACGCCTTCTCGTTGGAGTTCGTGCTGGTGTTCCAGTGCCTTGACTCATTCATCCGTCTACAGGAAGGCAGTGGCGTAGCGCTGCCGCCGGCAGACCACACTGCTTCTACTCGCCGGGCACTGCGGGTGTTGTTTTCTCGTCTCAAGGAGGATCTTTACGAGAAGGTAGGCAGCGCTTTGCACTGACCGGGGCGGCGTGGTGTGTTAAGGATTGCAGGCTTTCCGCATTTATCGCTGACTTCGTGTGTATTTCCTCTTTTCATGGAAGCCGCATGAGTTGCATGGCTACACAGTGTTCATTTTGCTAATAACGACATTGTGTCTGCTTCGCCTTATCTCTTTTATTTTTGTTACCGTTTCCGTTCTCGCCTTCTCTTTATCTTCATGTAGTGCTTCTCCACTAACACGTACCAACACACGCACACCAACACGATGTCCGCCCCGCAGGTGCAGAACCCCCCAGTGGAGGACGACGAGGTCCCCACCCTGGAAGCTGCCGAGGTGCCGCAGGTCGCCAAGCAGTCCAAGCGCTACGCGAAGGCCATGGCCAAGATGGGCCTGAAGCCAGAGCCCAATGTGGTCAAGGTGCACATCCGCAAGCACGGCACACTCTCCTTTGTGGTGAACCAGCCGGAGCTGTACCGCTTCCCTGGCACGACAACCTTCCTCATCTTTGGCGAGGCGCAGCTCGGTGACGCCACGATGGAGGCACAGGAGGCCGCCGCCCGCGCGGTGTCCGGCGCCGTCGCCGAGGCGGAAGGAGCGGAGACCGACGCCACCGCTGACC